GTTGCTTCCACTTAGGATGGTTTGCAAGAAAAAATTATGGATATTTCAGAATTCAGATGAAATCTATCCTGTAAAAAATCATAGTAACAACTGGACATCATCTTTCTTTCCTAAGGCTGTCTTTCCATTTTTTTCTTCATCATCAAAACAAAGCAGCATGGTGGACATGTCAGTTGAGGAAGGAGGGATGAATTGGTTGCATGCTGGGTTGACTTGACCAAGTTGCTTTTTGATTTGTATATCTTACTTGGAGCCCTGCTTTTCAATCTTTCAAACACATCAAACACCCCCCCTGCCCCCCAATCTGCCTCCGTGGGTCCTTCGCCAGAATTTTTTTTCCCTGAAGACAGGAAAAATTGAAAATAAACTGAAAAGGAAGTTATAAGGTGCATGTTATTTGTGAGGATCGTCCTCTCCGAAGGGTTGTGACTTCACTTGGGGGAGGTTTCTCACTTCAATTTTAGGAGGCTAGGACACACTTGACTCATTACTTATTATCTTATTTAATCTCCAATTCTTATCTTTCTAGTTTAGAGTCGGCTGCATTTAGAACCACCCAAATGTTTTAGGTTAAGAATAAAACTAGCTTCAAAAGCCAAGTAAAAAGAGTTCCTCCCAAAAGGCAAGATTAGCACACACGCCTGAGCTTATGCCACAAGGCTTGCGCTGCAACAAGTTAATGTGCTAGCTTTGACAAATGGCACTTAAAAAGCTTAAGTTTTGAAGCTCTTATGAAGGCCTCGCGTGAGGCATGCTCAAGGCATATGCCTTGGCGCTTTTGAAAACAATGATCTCACTATTACTCAGCTCGTTTCACTTCTCCACTCTTATCCACCTTTTTTTTTTTTCAAATATCGAGGTTGTTAATGATTTGGGGGCTCTATCCAATAATCTGATAAGAGACATGAGACTTGGCTGAAAATAATTTTTTACAGTTCAGATTTATAATCAAAATAAGGAGTCGTTTGCATTCTGTTCCCTTTTTTTTTTTTGTACTCGCCTCGAGTCTCACTGGGCTTCTGTCCATGGTGTATTGCAGTTCCAACGCAGGAATCGGATCTACAAAGAGGAGCAGCGCCAACTGAGAGCAGCTTCACAGAAGGCCATGGGAGGTGGAGATGATGGTCATCACTGATAATCATTATTGGTGATATTTTTTTTTTTTTAATCAGTTGGGAGATGGAAGGAAAGTAAGTGATTGTCTCGAGAACTAGTTGAAAATAAAGAAATAAACAAACTGTATTATGTGTTCTGGAACGATGAAAACATGAAGGTAAATGTATTTCTTGGTGCAGAAAAGGGGGTAAATTTGTTTTCTTTGTGTTGATACACTTTGCTCCTTGCTAGTTTCCTCTGGCACTGTGGCATTATATTCAATTATTGAATTGTTCTTCTCTCTGTTTTTATCATTTGCTTTGGTTATTTCATTTTGGTAAAGCAGTTTATCAAGGATTAAGATCTCCCCTTCTTGCACACTTGAGACTGGAATCTTTATAAATGGCCTCCATTTGCATGCAAAGAGAGAATGGCATTCTTCTTAGTTTTTTGGTTCAAGTAACCTTATTTTGTTCTTGTTAAAAACCAATCACGACTTTGAGAGATTTTGGTCTATCACTCGACCAACTCTACTGGTTGATTCCCACTTCTTAATATTGATTTCTCGTCCGATGATTTAGTTATTAATAAGATATATAATGCTTCTTAGTCTTCATCTCAAGACACGGCTGAGAAGCCTGAAGAGGTTACAAAATTAGGGACTTGAATCCAGTCGTTGATGTTGCTGTTTGCAAAAAGAGGAGGAAGATTTGTAGATCCCTATGGCCCCATTTGGCTTCCAGGATTTGGGATTTTCAAGCATTTTAGGGTTTGTAGGACGATGGATGATGAGAATAGGAGTAAGATTCTTCTAAAATGTCAAATCAAATGTTGTACATATATGTCCATGTTTGATATCGATTAAAATTTAGATTTTAATATAAATCAAAGTCAACAATTAATTTTAACCACATGTTTTATGGGGTTCACAACTTTTCAACAACACATTTCATCAATTTATATTAAAATCTACTAAAAATCTGATTAATTCCACCAAACAGGGGATATATATTAATTCACTGCATATAAAGTGATAATTTATTACATACAAATTTTATTCCGACTCGTTTATTATAATAGTAGAGCAGATTATCGATCTCTAAAAGACTACTAATAATCATTAATAATTCGATCGGTCATTTTTTTGTCGTGCGGAGAACAAGAATTCTCTTTTTTCTAATTAATCTTATCTGAATATTTGAACAGCTGCTAAAATTGGTTGAGGTTTGTGTTCTTATTATTAATGAACTATAAATTTAAATCAAGAATGAAGCAGATTCATTCACAATACATTCATCCTTTGGAATGGTTTCGATGCGATGGGGAGTGGGAGTGGGAGTGGGAGGCGATGGATTGGGTGGTGGTGTTTGGTGGAAAGAATAATGCTATTTATCATTATGATGATGAAATATCGATGATATGACGGTTTATGTGGAATAATGAGATTGAACAATTCAATTTTGTGAAAGAGAGATAAATGTGAGGGATAATTAGTTGTCATGTTACCGGTATTTCATAATCATAATGATAAATAGCATTACTCTGATAGAAATGGGGTACGTAAAGGTGGCAGGGTGGGAAAAAAGATGAAGCATTTTTTTCCTTTTACTAGTCATACTTGAAAATGCATTGCACGTTGTTATGAAATGATTTATAAGTGCTAAAAAATAATATTGTAAGATGTGGGAATATACAAAATAATTAATACAAATTGTTTATGTAAAATGAACTTTTAGTTCTAATGAAATAAAAACCTATTCGTGAGAACAATTTAAACTGTTGAGAAAGTCGATTAGAATAGTCCTTCCATTTACTTTTGATCTGAACTAAAACATCCAACGAATATCATCATTTCTTCATATTCGCTTAATATGTATCGAATAGATCAATTAAAATTATTTATTATAGATACGCATTATGTTCCCCCATTTACATTCTCTGTATCTTAACATTAATTGAATAAATCAAATTGAAGAAAATTCTAAAAATATTCATTTATTGTTCTAAAAAAAATTAATGAATTTAATTTATTATCCAATCTATCGGAATGAATCTGTCAATTGTACATTCATCATAACTAAATAATTGACAAAATAATTTATGATAATATTGTTCAAATTATTAAATAAATCAAAAACATAATGAAAAACGAAAAGATAATGAATCTATTCATCATAACTAAATAGTTGACAATAATTTATGATAACATTTTTCGAATGATTAATAAATTAAATATACATTGGAAAATGAAAAATGGTGTATATATATAACTTTTCTCATTTATTTTTTCATTTCTTAATCATTATAATTTTTTATTTGGAAAAATATAGAGGGACCATTTCTTCTTAATGCTTAAATGAAGGTTTATCTTTAATTTTTAGCCAACTAAGGGACCTTTGAGCAAAACCTATTCAACAGTCCTTATGTTGCCCATTTTTGCAAATGTTTGGGATTGTGATGTCAAAAATAAAAAGCTTGGAAAGGTTTCAAATCCCTTGTGCAATTTACCCATTGAATGAAGTGTTCGAGAGCAAGATTGTCCTCCTTTAATGACTTACACTTGAGGGCATTTATAAGTTGAAGTGTTTCTCTTCTCCGATCAATATTGACCCCAAAATACCCTCAATTCATCAATCAAATTGCACCACAATCAGACTTGGAAACCTTGTCTCACGGCCGCGGAGTTTTAGCTTGCAAGTTGTACTGGGCGTGGCTCATTCCTTGGCCTTGTCGCGATTGCAAGTACCTCATCTCTGTGGCATTTTTCTAGCTATTCGGAGTACAGTATGTATATTTTTTGATATAAAACTCCGAATTGTGAGCTGTAAATTGCATTGAACTCTAAATTCAATTCGCTTTCAATAATATAATAAGTTCTATGTATAGATCTCCGTATGTGTTCACTTCTTTTAGCTTTTGATATCCGTTTTCGTTCCTTCTTTTGTTTATATGTTCTTTAAATTGGACCTTATTCCTAATACATAAAAACACGGTAAAAAACAATAGATACATGAGCAAGTCATTATATGACAAATAGTCTACTAGGTAATATATTTTATATACTTATCTCACGTATATAAGTTATTTATTAGTTTAAGTATCGCATACTTTATTCCAAGATGAGTACAACATCATTTTTTATGACTTGAGATAGCATTCGACATAGAAATTTAGTGGAATAGTCGGCCGATGATCCACATTTTTCAAAAGACGACAAAAACAAGACAAAGAAAATATATTTCTAAGTACAAGATAAGCTTGGCAACTATTGTCTGTTTTTTGTGGCTGGGCTCTACTGAATAGAGTAAACATATAAGTTAAGCTATCCGAGTCGGAAATCCCATGGTAGAGGATAAATTTATTGTTCAGCAATAAAATAGGGACAATGAACCCAATTTTTCCCAGAAAGAACAAACTTTCGAAATTACAAAAGTCGTTACGTGCGGTGAAAGTTTGGTTGAGAGCATAAAATATTCATGTCAAAATTAAAAAAAAAAAAAAAAGTAATTTTGTTACGACAAATAAGTGCTTATTTTGAAGGAAAGTTTATTTAAAATTATGTATACATCATTGGTTTTGGCAAGAACTTAGCTTGGTAGTTTGCTGATGGAGTATTTATATATAAAAATGGAAGAAATTGATGAAGGTTTCAGTAAAGTGGGTAAGAGAAAAAGTCCAACTGATTGTCGAAATATGCTTGAAATAAGCTTGAATATTGGTTTGCTATTTCTGGTGTTGCATTTACCGGCGGCGGTTCACGGCGTCGATCAATATAGCAGAA